ATATGTATATGTATATGTATATGTATATGTATATGTATATGTATATGTATATGTATATGTATATGTATATGTATATGTATATGTATATGTATATGTATATGTATATGTATATGTATATGTATATGTATATGTATATGTATATGTATATGTATATGTATATGTATATGTATATGTATATGTATATGTATATGTATATGTATATGTATATGTATATGTATATGTATATGTATATGTATATGTATATGTATATGTATATGTATATGTATATGTATATGTATATGTATATGTATATGTATATGTATATGTATATGTATATGTATATGTATATGTATATGTATATGTATATGTATATGTATATGTATATGTATATGTATATGTATATGTATATGTATATGTATATGTATATGTATATGTATATGTATATGTATATGTATATGTATATGTATATGTATATGTATATGTATATGTATATGTATATGTATATGTATATGTATATGTATATGTATATGTATATGTATATGTATATGTATATGTATATGTATATGTATATGTATATGTATATGTATATGTATATGTATATGTATATGTATATGTATATGTATATGTATATGTATATGTATATGTATATGTATATGTATATGTATATGTATATGTATATGTATATGTATATGTATATGTATATGTATATGTATATGTATATGTATATGTATATGTATATGTATATGTATATGTATATGTATATGTATATGTATATGTATATGTATATGTATATGTATATGTATATGTATATGTATATGTATATGTATATGTATATGTATATGTATATGTATATGTATATGTATATGTATATGTATATGTATATGTATATGTATATGTATATGTATATGTATATGTATATGTATATGTATATGTATATGTATATGTATATGTATATGTATATGTATATGTATATGTATATGTATATGTATATGTATATGTATATGTATATGTATATGTATATGTATATGTATATGTATATGTATATGTATATGTATATGTATATGTATATGTATATGTATATGTATATGTATATGTATATGTATATGTATATGTATATGTATATGTATATGTATATGTATATGTATATGTATATGTATATGTATATGTATATGTATATGTATATGTATATGTATATGTATATGTATATGTATATGTATATGTATATGTATATGTATATGTATATGTATATGTATATGTATATGTATATGTATATGTATATGTATATGTATATGTATATGTATATGTATATGTATATGTATATGTATATGTATATGTATATGTATATGTATATGTATATGCATATGTATATGCATATGCATATGCATATGCATATGCATATGTAGATTTATATGTAAACAACTCCTGCGCTTGGATTATAAATAGCGGGACACGGGTTTACCTACACTACCGCGTGAAAACCTTATGAGTACATTAATCACCCACCGAAATAATCAGGTAGAACACACTTCGGTGACCACCCTTGTGTCAGGGACGTAGAGAGGCGCTCTAAGGAGCATCCCCCCCACCTTGATTACACTGCCACATACGCGCCACGTACGGCCCCTGGCTCCTTAAAACTAATAGGCGCCATCTAGCCAAATAGCATGCTGTTAACAATGACGCAGATTGCGTCATTCGCAAAAGTGACACAAATGAACAGGATTATTTTCTATAACACGTAAACAAGTATTTGACGTGTTTTAAACATCAGTGTGACTGATGCAATGTGTTAGCGTTACTAATAGTCTATTACTACATGCTCGATCTCAATTTCTGAATGATTGTCTAAAAACAGATGCTTATGACATCATTCGCAAAGTGACGAAACTGTTTGGATTTTTTTTACGGACAAAAAGAAACACCCCAGTTAATAATCTAACCTTGGTAAATGTTTCTGATTATTAAAATAAAATGTGTTATATGGCCCTCAGCGACCCATGTGAGCCTTTAGGGGCCGAAACTGAATTTTTTGTTTGCAGCCAAAGCGCACTCTACCAGGGCGCCGGCGGACACGCCTGATTCAATTTAGTAAGCGTTTGTAACGCCACATCCTATCCATTGTCTGTCACGCAACGTAGTCGCCATAGCGCTCACGATAAAGAACAGGGCGCCAAATGGCATCCTGCCGGGGGGCCTCCCATGCAAAATTAAACACCCCCTCCCACCACCACCCACCCACCCCCATCCCTCTCCCACCCCATAAATCTTATCGGGAGTATTCATCAACTCCCTAAAGTTTTATGGCACCCGGATAAACTGTGTTGAACCGCAATCGTCTTTTATTTGTATATACCGTACATATAGAAAAATCGCACACTCCCGCGGCGCCGCCCTTGCGAAAATAAAAATGACTTTTTTACAGAACCCTTCCCTGGAGTATTCTAATCAAGTCCCCGACGTTTGATGGCTATCGGATAAACTTTGTGAGACCGCAATCGACTTTTATTTTTATATACCGTATATAGATAAAAAACAAATCATGTTATGTCGGAGCGCCACCCCTGCAAATTTTTTTTTCGCAGAAACCTCCCCAGGAATATGCTTAGCAACTACCCAAGGTTTCATGGCGATCGTGTGAACAGTGTCACTGCAATTCACTTTTATTATTTTTATATACCACATGTAGAGAAAAATCGCACCCTCCCGAGGCACCGCCATTGCGAAATTAAAAAAAAAAAGATTATTTGCAGAACCCTTTCCTTGAGCGTACTAATCAACTCCCCAAAGTTTGATGGCGATCGGATGAACGCTGTGAAACCGCAATCGACGTTTATTTTTATTTATCGTATATTGAGAAAAATCGCACCCCCATGTGGCGTCGTCCTTGCAAAATTTAAAAAATTATTTTTAAGTAGAAACCTCCCCAGGAATATTCTCAACATCTTCCCAAATTTTAATTGCGATCGTGTGACCGGTGTCACTGCAATTCACTATTATTATTTTTATTTACCGTATATAGACGAAACTCGCACCCTCCCGTGACGCCGCCCTTGCGAAATTAATTTTTTTTTTTTTTTTTACAGAACTCTTCCCTAGTGCTATAATAAACTCCCCAAAGTCTCATGGCTATCGGTTGAACAATGTCAAACCAAAATCGACTTTTATTTTTATATACCCTGCCAGGGCGCCACCCCTGCGAATTTGAAATTTTTTTCCGCAGAAACCTCCACAGGAATATTCACAACAACTTCCCAAAGTTTCATGGCGATGTGATGAGAGGTGTAGTAATGCATAAAAGACACACACACACACACACACAAACATACATAGCTTTATATGTATACATTGATATATATATATATATATATATATATATATATATATATATATATATAGAGAGAGAGAGAGAGAGAGAGAGAGAGAGAGAGAGAGAGAAAGAGAGAGAGAGAAGAGAGAGAGAGAGAGAGAGAGAAAACCACCAATATTAAAGACACTATAAAGGTGGAAAAACTAACAGTAGTGCTCAAATTATACACAGAAGTAAAAATATTTTTTTACAGTAACACGTTATTTATAAAGCATTGTGGTCGGGTGCTAGTGAGAGCACTTGTGTTTCAAATTTGCAGGGTAAAAGGAAGTGGAACTTATTCTACATTTGGTTATTTCAAAAGCCTATTACTTAAGTAAAGTTTTAAATAGGCGTGAGTTTACATATAAGTTAAAGATCTAATTCTCTTCCTTCTATCAAATTTTTATGTTATTTCCGTTGAACAGAAGTATTACTTTAAGATATTTCCAATTTCTCAAAAATTGCATATGAATTTATAAAGTATTAAAATTCGCATTGTTATACACACTGTTTGCTGTTCTCTTGGTGCGCGTATTCTTTTTCTACGAGTATCTATTCTATTTTTAAAAAGCTTAAGTAATTAATAATGGAATTAAATTTATGTCTATATCCCGAGTTGCCATCCTCCGTAGTGTTATATAAGACTATTCGAGATTGTTTTTTTAAAACAAAATAGAATAGAATCGACAAGAAAAAATGAATTGCGCACTAAATGAGTGTAAACAATGTGTGCATAATTGCGTTATAAATGAAACTTTGATTACGTTTTTAAAAAGTTATTTAAACATCTAACTAAATGATATTTTAATGTTTTGTCACAGTACCATTACATCCATTCTTTACCTACTCGAAAGGCTTGAAACAAATCGATCAGGTAGAAGTGATATTTTTGATAAGTCGGAAATAGCGTGAAAGACATTTTTTGGCCTACGGAAATCACTTAAACTTTAAAACCATCAAGAGAATAAGAACTTTTAACTAAGTATACCTTACTAAAACAGAAGTTATGTTTTTCTCTATTTTAGAAATCGGAAATTGTATAAATTACCACTTCCGGGTAAAGGAGGTCAATCAAAATTTAAGTGTAATTCAAAAATAAGACGTTATACATAAACTTGAAAGTGTGTCTATCTACCGGAAGCAGTACTTCAGTTTGCTTTTCCCCAATACAATAGAGTAAAATATCAGTCTGTATAGGCTTTTGCGTAATTGCAATGAGAGTAAATACAAGAAATCACCTTAATATGGAAATAAAACTGCAAATAAGAAATATTCTAATATTAAACTTTTATGTTACATACAAATTTATCAATCAATATTTTCACGTTTAGATTCAAGACGTTACACCATGACCTAATTTTGTTTACATATAAATTGATAAATCAACATTTATATTTTAGATTCAAGCCATAACACCGTAACCTCCCAGTGTTTACCCGACAAAGCGTTGTCTGTGTTGACAAACTTGAGGCATCTAGGAGCGGCCGGTACGAACTGTAAATTGGGTCCCGGATTTCGGAAGTTAAAACATCTTCAATCAGTAGACTTCGGCTATGCCTGCACTCTGACGCACTTGTGCGATAATTATTTTGAAAACATACAATCAGAGCAAAATATATCTATTTCATTTAAATACTGCCAACTGTCAAGCTTCACAAACACATCTTTTGTAATGGGATCAACGTTGTCAGGCCTGAACCTTGATAAAACAAACCTAACTTTACAACACATTTTGGACGCTATCCAACTCTTTAAAACCGTGCAGGAGTTTTCGTTACAGGAAATAAGACAGGTACCAGGTGCCAGGTTTTATTTAGGAAAAGTTTTGGAATTATTTGTAGAAACTGAAATAAAATCTTTGACTCTTTCTGGAAACAATATTATATTGGACCTAACATTTGATTTTAAAAAGTTTCCTCCAAAGTTAGAGACGCTGGTCACAGAAGGTGATGATTTAATAATAAGTTTTATTGATGCCCTGAGAATTTCACCAGAAAACTCGCTCAAAAAATTAGATTTTAAAAGAGCACCCAATAAACAGAAAGTTTTTATGTAAGTACGATATCGTAACCTATACATTCATCCAATTATCTTACCAACCTTACACACCTATCTGTTTAATTGTTTATAACAGTTATTTTTCCTTACAGATCACATCAGAACAAGACACACAGTAACATAAAAAGAGTAAATTCCGAGAGCAATGGATTATCTAATTTGGAAGTTTTAGATATTTCTTACTCTTTTTCGAAATATGGTTCTGAAGACCTGTTAGAGGGCATGACAAATCTCCGTGTACTAGGACTCTCGGGTACTGAGGGTACTGGACTATGTGGGGGTGATTTAGACGACAGCTTGCTGAGAACAGATTTGGCAAATCTCGAAATACTTTGGTTAAGAGAATGTAAAATAACTTTTATACCACGCACATTTTATTTTCCGAAAAATCTTACATTATTATTTTTAGGTAGAAATAGTTTGACATATTTCGAGGCATCCCTGCTGAGACATTTGAACCTGATGTATTTAGATTTGGCGTTCAACCGTTTACCTGGCCTCTCGGTTGAAATGTGGAAGGAGCTGAAGAGATTTAGATTTAATAATCCAAAGTTTAGGGTACAATTATCTTACAACGACTTTCAATTTATCTGCACATATGTTCAAAGTCTACATTTTATGGTTACCAACACACAACTGTATACCTACGCATACGATATGATGTTCAGAAAGGAAGACAATAAATATTTAAACTACACGGAGATGGTCGCACAACTTCCAATACTAACAAAAAACTGTCTGATCAAAGAAAACTTTGGTTACGTGCTGACATTGTTTTTCACCCATCTCCTTTGTTTGCTTGTTCTGGCCGTGTTTTTTCATTACCGCTGGAAGCTGAGGTACCTCTACTTTATTGGTCAACGGCGGCTGCACATTGGTGGACGTTTGGTCAACTACAACCCACAAGTTGATGTCTTCATCACATATGACGAGGTAAGAATATTGTCTAATAGGAATAGATCTAATTAAAAAAGAGATTCAGGAACGTTTAATTTATATATCCATTGTAAAATTATCAATCGTAATATTCAGGGTTTAGAAGGCATAAGTTGTATTATTACGGGAACAAGGCATCCGCCCCCGTCCATTACCCCCGGATATTTCCCCCCGAAATTACCCCACGGAGTAATTATCCCCCTGTCAATTACCCCCCCCCCCCCCATGTCAATTACCCCCGCCCAGTGGGACATTAACCCCAGGTACAGCTACAGTAAGTGTTTAGAGTTAGGGTTATTAGGGTTAGGGCTAGGACTTTGCTGAGGGTTAGGGTTAGGGTTATCGTCAATGGTAGACTTAAACAAATGTCTCGAGATGTTTTTGGTTTTGTGTTAGGTTTTAGGCTTAGGTGAACGCTTGGGTTTTTTTCTCTTAAGGTTAGGATTAAAGTTATATAAAGCTATAGACTTTGAATTAAAGTTAGGATAATTACAATATATTTAAATTAATCAACAATAAAACAAATTAGTAACCATCTTGATGGATAAATGGATAAATACAAAATCACTATTCATGATATATAGATACACATTTTATTTTTAAGCTAACCGTGAAAGCCTTCTAACGACTGAAGAATTTATATATCCAAACTCTATGTTTTTATAATGTGTGGTTATGTCGTTACTATTTTTCAAACATATCTTTAAAGTTTAAGTAATAAAACTTTATATAGGTCAAATATGGAAAAGGTAGAACTGTATTCGTTTTCTAGTCTATTGGTTCTAGGAAATTCTACTACACATCTTGTTTGAATCTAACAGGGAGAACCAAGAATCCGTCAGATTGTAAGAAATGTTATCCTCCCATTCTTGAGAGAAAAGAACATCTCTTACATTTTAGGAGAAGTGGACTTTCCAGGTGGGGACATGGTGTCACACATCAGTGGAGCTATAACTGGCACAAGAAAAACGCTGGTCTTGTTGTCTGAAGATCTTTTCTTGGATCACTACCGAGAGTATGAGATGAACCTGGCCATCATGCGAGAGTTCAATGTACGAGGTCAGGTTATCGTTCCTGTCTTTGTTGAGAGGGTCGACTTGAATACATACCCACCTGAAGTAGAAACTTATTTAAGGAATCAGCTGTACAGGTGTCTGGTCTACAGAAATAACCAAACTTTCTGGACACTTCTGCTACATGCTATTGGAAACGATACGTAGTTTGATATCTATAACCTAATCTGGTTGATATATATTAAAACTAGATTGGTCTTTGTAATGTATTTTTAAATATAGTTTTAAAATGATTAAATTCACTACTTATTTTGTTAACACAAAATTATGATAGAATGTATGTTTAACCATGTCTATCGAATAACTAACACTATCTGTTTTATTACTAATTGTCTACCGAAAACAATGTTACCATTCGTACGTTTTATTCAGATTCAACAATTTAGTAGACCAAAATGGTCAAGAACATTGTTTTTTAGTTTTAAATCCGCTTCCAATTATAATATCATAATCCATGTCGTTTCTTTTTCTTAACTTTTATATACTAATAATTTTGTTGATGTTCTGTAGATTTTTCTTTTTCAAACATTTTTCTTCTAATATTACTTTTGTTTATGTGTTCTTTGTTTGACAATGTATGTTTAAAGAATTATATTGTGTTCCATTATTTTCTGTAAAATTATCGGAATATCTTTTCGCACGTATATATTTTATTTAGATACCTTGATTTATCATCTTTAATGATTCAAGATTATAGAATGAGTGCTTCACAGATCAAGTAATTTCATTCAATATGCTTCTACCTCCCTTTTCTCCCACTTTTTAAAATAAAACGGTAATTTTAAGTTTCGCCTATTCGTAAATATCGTGCGGCGTCAAACCGGCCCGTGACAAAACGGCCCCGTCAAAACAACCCCGTCAAAACGGCCCCGACAAAATATCCCCGTCAAATCGACCCCGTCAAAAGGTTCATAGACAAGCGGATCCCGTCATTTAGGCTCCAGTCAAAAGGGCCACCGTCAATAAGGCTCGTGACAAAAGGGCTCCTGTCAATAACGATTCTAACAAATAGGCTCCATTCATTACGACTACCGAAAATTTGGCTCATATCATTTAGGCTCCCGACATTTAGGCTCCAGTCAATCAGGCTCACGACAAAAATGGCTCCAGACAAAAGGGCTCCGAGCAAAAGGGTTCCAGTCAATATAGTTCCTGATAAAAGGGCTTCCGTCATTTAGGCTCGCGTCAAATTGGCTCCCGTTAATTTGGCTCATGACAAAAAGGCTCCGGTCATTCAGACTCTCGATAAATTGACTCCCGTCTCTGTGGCTCCCGTCATATAGGCTCCCGTTATTTAGGCTTGCGACAAATTGGCTCCCGTCAATATGGTTCCTGACAAAAAGGCTCGTCATTTTGGCTCTCGTCAATACGGCTCCCGACATAATGATAATGGCTCATGTCAACACCACCCATTCCAGGATGGACTACAGAAATAAGCCAAAAATAATAAAGCGTCCTTAGCTTTAGGTCGCTGTGGTGATGTAATGTGTATGAATGTGTATGAAAGATGAATACGTGGGACGGATCACTGCGTGTGTGTATGTATCATGTAGTGAGACGCGAGGCCGGGTGTGTTGACGTATATGTTGCTGTACGGAGTGAACGAGGGTACAAGGGAAGCGACTGGTCGGGTGACAGTGGCTGTGTTGTGAGCGAGAGAAAGGTGGTGTGTAGGGATGAATGCGGAAGACAGTTGAAGGTTGGGCATGAAAGGAGGCAGGTTGAGTTTGTGACTGGAGATAGAGAAATAAAGGACTGTGAAATCTAGCTTCAATTGTGTTGTGCCTTTCTTGGAGATTCAGACACCCTCACAGTCGCCATGTCTTAATATTTTTAAAAGCATTTCTTGTACTGTATTAATTTTTAGTTTGTGGTCATCTGTTACATTTCTACTTAGGGGAGTAGGATGCTGCAGCCCATTATATACATGCCGGGTTAGGGTCCCTACGATACAGTTACAGTCAATATGCTTCCAGGTTATTAAAAAAAATATGACTTCTTTGACTCGTTGCCCCCCTTTGTTAGCCAAATAGAGGACACGTAACTGTTTGACCGATCCTCCAAAGTGTACTGTGGCGGATGGGGCAGGAGATGGGCACCAAAAAGGGGGCTCAAAAATTGTCGTCAAATGTATTTATTTATTTTAAAAAGTTATTTATAACTGTATTTTTTTAACCATCGTCAAGGCCGAGTTCTATTTCCCTACAATCAAAAACACGCTGTCGCCGGCAAAATTCTTTAAAAAAAAAAAAAATAGCACGAGAAGCCGTTACATATGAAGTGGACTTTTATGATGCGCGGTTCTTCTTTGCGACATTGGTTAGGGTATAGACGAAAAATTCATTATATATTTTTCAATGTTAATAGATGTTTGCGATAGTGGTTGAATTTGTATCCTGTACCATCTTGTATCCTACAAATAATAAAAAAATAATATAATACTAGAAACTTCAATTTTAAATACGTTTACTTTTTTTTTTGTTTTTACAAGAAATATAATAGTAAACTTTTAGGGCCTATACTTGGAATTATCTCCCCTGAGTAAGTTTTACAATGGGCGATGCTGACGTACATAAACGCTTTTTTGTCTCTTTCAAGTTTTTTCCCGAGCCGACCCCCATCCCACCCCTCTTTTTAGCCTCGCAAGTATCGAGTAGATTAAATGTATCGTTTATGAACTACTTCCTAGCAACATTCACCACTTCAGCACACTTTTTCAGACACTACACAGTACTAGTCAGCAGATATTAATTTACTTGCATAGTATTAGGTGCATCTAATTCACACACCCTCCCACAAGCTAGTATGATTGTTAACATCTTCGTTTGTTGTTTTTGTAATCCAGGGATCAATTTGTCAAAAGCATGTTTGCTAGCTGTCATCCTTTTATAACGTCAACATGGTGGTGAAGTGTCGATTAACATCGACTGTCTTGGACTGGGAAGGAGGGAGGGGAATCCATGTGGACATCCATACATTGAAATTAACATGTGAAAACTTAGACAACAAACGCAGAATGTGTAACATGCATGCTAAATTTAAACAGAAACAGCTGAGCTTGGGTCGTGTGGCGTAAACAACAGCTCAGCATGCACTTAAATCAGATAAATATAAAATTACAATACTCGTAACTTTGTAGAAAGCGAACTGTTTAAAGAAAAAAATGTAATAACTCCTCAGAAAACGGTTTCTTGGTCGGGAAGTGTTTTAAGTCGGGAGTTATTTAACCGGAGCCATTTTATAGTGAGTCAGTAAGTCGGGAGTCATTTAGTCGGGAGCCAATATGTCTGGATTTCTTTTGTCTAGAGTCCAATTGTCAGCAGCCATTTTGTCTGGAGCCAATATGGCGGGAGTCCTTTTGTCGGGAGCCCAACTGTCGGGAGTCCATTTGTCGGGAGCCAATATGTCGGGAGCCCATTTGTCGGTAGCCAACATGTCGTGAGACCATTTGTCGGAAGTCAATTTATCGTGAGCCCTTATGTCGGGAGCCAATATGTCGGGAACCGCTTTGTCGGGAGCCAATATGTCCTGAGCCTATCTGTCAGGAGCTCATATGTCGGAGGTCCATTTGTCGGGAGCCTAAATGTCGGGAGCTCATTTGTCGGGGGCCTATATGTCGCAAGTCAATATGACGTGCGCCCATTTGACGGGAGCCTATAGTCGGGGCCTTTTGACGGGGCTATTTTGACGGGGTCGGTTTGTCGGGGGTCGATTTGACGGGGTCATATGAACGGGGCCGTTTTGACGGGGCCGATTTGTCCCGGGCCGTTTTGACAGGGCACCCGTAAATATACCCACAGGGAATAGGCAATGACTCCTGTCAATATCTCCCGTCTGTTTGAATTACTCCCGATTCTTTACTGCCTACTAACCCGTTGATAACGAACGAAAAAAGTGGTTTAAACTATTACAATAAATAAATATTAATTATTTCGAAGTTACTTTAATGTAAATACTAATGTAAACAACAGGGACGCTATACAGTGGAGTCTGGACGTGAGAGATAAAAATTGTTTGAAGTGTCAAAATCAACAAAACAACTTGTGCTCTTGAATGCAATTTTTAAGTAGGGCCTACTCAACAGAATCAACGTTTCGCGAGACAGAAGTGGAAAATACTCAAACCACTCAGCCTGAACATAAATGATAATAAAAGAATTACGTTCAGCAAGTATAATACATCTTCTGAAACCGGGAGTGATCTCCCCTAAACTTTCTCGAATATTCTTATATAACACTAAGGGGGATGGAAACTCGGGTTATACACATGCTTTTTAAACAATTTTAATTACTTAAACTTTTCAAATAGAATATAATCTCGTAGAAAAAAAGAATTGCGCACCAAGTGAACGCCATACAATGTGTGTATAATAGTGCGGAATATTATTAGTAATTTATACATTCATAAGCGTTTTTTGAGAAAACGGAAATAGCGTAACCTACTACTTCCGGTAAAGCCCCCCATACTCCGTATAGTACTGAGGTGTAAAACGATGAAAACTGTCAACATTTCATGTGATTTTTGTGCACGATTACAATACGTACTCTATAATCTGTAAACGAGAAATTAAAAAGAATCAATAAGAGGGAACGTAAATTTTCTTCTGTGTCACATCTATCAAGTGATCTGCATGCTAAGTAAAAACATTTTATAGCGTGATGTTTTCAATTTTGACAAATCTAGATTTCGGTTTTTACTTTCTGCCAGTGTTTTTGTCTATACAGGTCATGATCTTTTTAATGAGACAAACTCAAAATGCAAGATTTTTGTCATGATAGTAGCAGGAAGTTTAGAATGTTTTAAAATGCTCCAACAAACTTAATTGTATGAGAAGATTAAGCAACGTTGGATATTATAGTTTGATGTTCTAGAATTAAAAAAAAAAGGTTGCATAACACATGCCACGCCATTTGTAAAATTGTTGAAAAAGAAATTGTAATTCAAATGCTTTTATTAAATAAACAATATGTATATGATTTCGTTTTATTACTCATGAAGGCGAATTTGCATAATGTAAAATGATAGATAAATATGCTTGGGTATCAAGAGATAGTATTAACAAACGTTCGTCAAGAAAATTAACAAAAGCGACCCTATATACAAATATAATGTCAAAGATTTAAGACCTAACAGTTTTTATTGAAAAA